CCCCCCCCCCCCCCATCCCCGTTCTCCTCTTCCCCCCGCTCCACTTGTCCATGTAGCTGCCACCAGAATGGCTGCCATCCCGGGGGCTTCCTGCGCTGCAACGGGAAAAAAATGCTTGGACAAAACAAAATTCTTAGATGTTGGTTTTATTTGAGGATTTGGAGGCAGAGGTAGGCTTACCCCCAGTCCGGCGTTTCCCGAGCAGGGCGCTCGGGCGGTCCCGCCAGACCTTGGGCACCGAACTCGTTTCTCTGGGTCCTTCTGTGCCTCGGTGCCCTCTGAGCTTCTCCGCTCGTCCCAGCCTGTTTTCTCTTTTAACCTACCTGGTTCGGACGCGTCCCATAGGGCGCAGATTTGCCTTTAACATGTTCTTCTCTCCTGGAGAGATCGTTCGGTAAAGGCCAAGTTTGCTGCGGTTTGTTCCGAGCCGCATCTCTGCGTGCCCCGACAGCTGCGGGCTGCGTCGGGCGGCTGCAGCTCCTCCTGCGCCGGGAGGAGGAGGAGGAGGAACGGGGAGAGGAAGGCGCGGGGGGGACACCGAGAAGTTCAGGGGTGGCGAGGGGCTCGGGCTTCGGGCCGGGGGAGGCAGCCCGGGAACGGGAGGTTACTGGTGTTTTGCGCCTAAAGAGAGTAATAGCGACGAAATGGGGTGGTTTGCACTGAAAATGGCAGGGAGAAAAGGCGCATCTCTAACCGGCAAACGCACCTCGGGAACAAAATTGCCAGCTATTATTGGTTGAACTAATTGCTGAATAATTTGGAAGTAGTGCAAAAAGCAGTAGTAGTCCCAGTGGTGAAGGTGGATGTAGTGTTCTCGCGAGTAACAGTTCAGCTTTAAAACAGTCATCAAATATGCATCTTTCCCGTTAAAAAGGACTCCTTTTCGGGGGGATTAGCTTTTAATTGTCCTTCCGCTGTCTCCCTGTGCAGGGCAGATGTTCAGATTCAAAGGACCTGTAAACCGAATCAGCGGCATCTGTCCTGGATGGGAGCACAGCCTGAGAAAGTCTCACTGCTCCCTGGCTTCCTAAAGAAAGCTCCTTTAACTGCATTTTGAAAAATTCGTTTACAAAATAATTGCCGTCCGATTTTTTTTTTTGTCTTTTAATCGTTGTTTAGAGCGTGCAACTGAAACTTTAGCTATCTTCTTTGAGTAACCTTTGGCTTCTTTGCTTAAGCTATTTATCTACTTAACTGTTTACTAGACCTATAATCGACTAATTTATGCGGTAATAAGTGCCATTGATCTTGGAAATCAGACTGGGTTGCTCGTTGATGTAAAATTCCACGAACGAGTAAATTACTGCAAAGCCTTCGATTTTGTGCCTTTTAAAGAGAAACCATTAAAAAACGTTATAGTTTCTCTTTTTACTTTTAGTAGAACTTGTCATTTCCTTCTCAGAAATGCACAAGAAATGCACAATATTGTCCTCTGAGGGGATCTGTTCCTGGTGATTTGTGTAGAATACTTTGTGTAAATAAATCTACACCCAGAGGTGGTGGGGAAAGGGGGACCCATAAACTTGGCAAAGTCGAGACTGAAATAATTTTGTAAATTGCAGCAAATATTCATCTCCAACACGAATTATATTGACTTTTTTTTTTTTTCCTACTTAAACGAGGCTCCTTTTGCAGGGGGATGATGGGTTTAGATGTGGATAGAGCCTGACAAGTGGAAAATAGCTTAGAAGGATGCTGAAACTTCAAAAAGATTTTCTTTCTTTTCTTCCTTTCTTTTTTTTTTTTTTTTTTAAAGTGTGTTCCTGTGATCATAATTTCCTCCTTCACTTGTTGGAATGGAGTTTGATGGGTTTTTTAGGTCAGTAAATCAATGGCTGAAAGCTTGCTGAACACAGAAGCACCTGTAAAGAATTTTGAATACTCCCTTTGTGAATTAGACCCCAAACCTCCCACAGTCTGCTATGTTTTATTCATTTGTATCTAGTCTGGCTTTAAGACACTAAAATATCCTGGATAATGACAGATGTATTGCGCAAACTTGGGGCACGACGCGCTGATAAAATACCCATAATCTGTGCAAACAGCCAAGATATTAAGAAACGCTTCCTTCCTTTGCTAGCAGGAAGATGTCTCATGCTTCGCTGCGAGGGTGACGGAATATCCAGGCTGGATAGACATCCTCGGCCGATGGGGACTGGGGCTGGGGGCGGCTTTTTGCCGGGGGAGGGGAGGAGAGGCTGCCAAGGCGCCGATCCAGCTCCCGGCAGGCTCGGGGCAGCGCCGGGGACGCCTGGAGCTGACCCTCTCAAGTGGCTGTGTCAAAAGTGGTTTGAGTTTTTTCCTGACAAAAATGCGAAAAGTCTGGAAAGTTTTGAAGAGCGAATCTCTCTTTCCTCCTCGTTTCCCTTGGGACTAAAAGCTCACAAGAAGCTTCCCTGTGACTGTGACAGAGCGAGCAGACGGGAATCGCAGCTTAAAATCGGATGTCTTGCAGAGATTTCCTAGGAAAAATTAGGGTTTACCCCTTTCCCCCCGTCCTCTTGCTTCTCCCCCTTTTCCCCCTCCTCCCGGGCCGTGGTCACCTCTCGGGTCCCGGGGCGCATCTGGCCCCTCCCAGGGGGCTGGGGCTGGGGTCGGGGCCGGGGCAGGAGCAGGGGCTGGGGTCGGGGCTGGGGCAGGGCGCCGGCATCGCTCCCGTCCCGCAGGGCGAGCGGGGCCTCGGGAGCCCCCTCGCTCCCCGGCAGCGCCCCCCGTTCCCCGGGAGCCCTCCCCGTTCCCCGGCAGCGCCCCCCGTTCCCCGGGAGCCCTCCCCGTTCCCCGGCAGCGCCCCCCGCTCCCCAGGCGCCTGAGGGCCGGGTCCGTGGGGCAGGGCGGGCAGCGGAGCCCCTTCCCCCGGCGGGGCGGGCAGCGAGGAGCCCGGCCCGGCCGGGGCTGCCCGGGTTAATCGCGGCGCTCAGGGACTGACCGCGCACTCGCACCGGCCATTCAGTGCCATTCAATTGGCTTAATTGAGGGGAAAAACCCTGGCGGCGGTTCCTCCCGCGGGGCCCGGGCCCCGCCGCCCCTCTGCGGCCCCTTTGTTCTCCCGCCCCGCGGCCCCAGCCCGGCCGCGCTCCCCCCGGGGGCCACCGCGGCCGGGGGGGCCGGGCCTCAGGCAGCCCCGGGGGGCACCGGGACGCGCAGCCCCTTTGTCCCAGGCGGCCGGGAAAGGCCGGAGGAAGAGGGCTTCTAATCCTGCTCTCGTCCGTCCTGGCCTTGTGATGCTCGGGCCTGGGCTCCTTAAGACAGACTGCCTTTATCTCCTCAGAAACACCTCTTGAAATGTCAAGGTTTGAGGCAGCGCTGCCGTGTCTGTTGCTCCATGGCTTGGCTCCTTTTAGTGCCGCCAGGCACCTCGGAAGCAGCCAGGGGTCCCTTGACTGCTCCCGGTGCCACAGCTTCACCCCTTGTAATTCCTGTGGTGAGAAGTTCAGGAATCTGCCTTCTCTTAAGTGTCTTCTCCCTCCTCCAAATAGAAAGACTATGGCTGTTCCTGTCCCAAGTACCACTCAGAGGGCTCTGTCTCACTTCTGTCCCCTTTGAGGATATGGGTGCCACAAAGCCCTCTACACCCTCCGACCAAACTCCAAATGCGGCTGCACCCCTGCCCGGTCTAGTTAATCACAAGTTCCCTCTCCAGGCAGCAGGAGGTTAAAACACCCCCTTGACTCCGATTACAGGAGGAAAGGGGTGTAAGTTCCTGAGCCACTATCGAGAGATAATGCACACACATGTCTCTTGTTTCATCACTCCTTCAGAATCAGGATTAGTTTTCTTTCTTTTGGCATAATCTAACATGTCAAGCACAAGCTACTAAGAGCAAAATTTCCCCCAAAGGAAATTTCTCTTTCTCATCTTCACGTGCTATATCCTTAGCAACCTACTAACAACTAAGCACACACTTTGCCCTGAATCCCAAGCCATGGGGGGCTCTGAGGGTGAAGCAATGTTCCCAAGTTCTCCTCTAAAAGACTTTGTTACAAAAGCACTGACTCAGCCTGCTTTACGCTCTTGTTGCTGGGTTTAGGGGGATGTTATGCATTAATCTGCAAAGGGTATGTTGGCTACCAATATCATAACATTTTCCTCTTAATCTGTAGGGATGAAGTGATGCTGCTCATGGACATCACCATCCTGTGACCAGGTGGCCCACACGGGGCTGAGGGTGCGTGTGCTCCCACTGCTGCACCATGGAGGGTGTGGGGTCTGGGGAAAGGCACGGGGCCTTAGAAATGTTCTAGGGTCAAAAAAGACACTTGGCGCTGCTTCAGAATTTGTTTTATCAAAAAATAGAAGTGAAACACTCATTAATTTAAGGCTCCTCTATTCGACTGGAATTCTACCAATAGTATTTCTGAAATCCCAGCAGGAGCCTGAGATACTGCAACGGAATGGAAATGTTACATATGGATAGTTCAGCAATTCCTTTGGGAGATACACAGGACACCACAAAAGAACAGGGAAGACAGTGCCTGAAAAACAGAGGGTTGCGTGAGGAGCATGTACAGTGTTAGTTTTACACCCCGATGCCTTTTGCAGAAACTCCTCAGCTCTTAAAATCTCCACTTACACCCTTGGCCTGTTCTGAGTGTCTGTGCCTGCAACACCCATGGACATTGCAGATTCTGTGAGAGATGCAGATAATATTAGACTGAATAAAACAGCCTGTTGAGGATGGTGCCAGGCACCACAACCAAATACAAGAGGGGAACTGGCACCAGCTAGGGCTATTTATGTCATATTGGGTGATGCCTGAGAGTAGCCAAACCACTTGCACCCGACAGCGAACGGCACACGCCCTCATGCACTTTCAAAATCTGTTCTACAACTTCCAGCGTAGACAAGGACATTTTGCCACTCTCAAATGGTACATGTTTACTGTCATTTTAATATTATTTTTACTTAGTAGATAATGAGGTAAAATTATGAGAAATTCCAAGAGTAAGTTGTTCCTTTTCCTATCAGGACTTGATGAAAAGCTGACACCCTCATTCCCTTCTGGGAGGGTTTAGAATCCTCGGACTCTGGATGTATCTCATTCTCTACGGGACATGTTAAAACCCAGCTCTGCAGCCCTAGGCTTTGTTTTGTTGCATATTAACAGGAACCAGACCTCAGTCCTGCAGACAGATATTCTGATGCATTTCCTCCTATGTCTGTCTTGTTATTTCTTGGAGGGTTCAAAAGCCTCTAAGATGACACACAAAGGTCTTTTCCATTACTAATATCTAAAATTCTTTGGGTACGTTTTAAAAACAAGTATGACTTGGTTTTACATATCCGTAACAGAATTTTCTTCGAGCATTATTATATTATTTATCCCAGCGCTCTTTATCTCAGGAATTGTGGCTATGAAGGAGACTGGAGCACATGCAATGACTCCAGATGGGCAACCAGGTCTCAGATTTTAACCCAAAAAGATTTGGCCATGTCCCAAACAGCTCCATTACTACTCCATTGTTACTCTCTCTCTTCAACTACCTTACACCTTTTAATTCAGGTGCTTGCAGTTTTCCATGCTGCAGGAAAACAAACAGAAATGCTTCTTATGGCCAAAATTTGGCACAAGATCCGGAGGTCTGGAAAGGATTTATACAAATATATGCACATGCACGCACACACGCACACAGACACATTTCTGTAGACAGTACCATTTTTTAGGTGCTTTTTAAATTACAGGAGTACAGAAACACACAGAAAAGTTTGAGGCTTTGGACACTTTGGGCATATTTGTTAAACAAACATGCTTTTTGGGCTTAGAGCTGAATTTTTGCAGGCCTTGCTCTGTTTTGTGCCACAGCTTTTTAGCAGGTTTTGAAAAGCTGAGGGTGTTAAAGCAGCTACCGTAGCTGCTGCAAACCTGCTTAGGGAACCTGTATGCATCTTTACTTAGGAATCCCAGCATCTTATGTGTGTTTTTTAAATCTCTTTTTAATACATGCCTGTCAGAATGTGTGTGTTTTCACTAGGGCTGAGACCCATTGATGGACAGCGTGAATTCAAGTAAGAGTATAAAGATAGGTACATGTTCTCACTTATAATTAAACTGCAATAGTGGACAATTGAAAACAAGCATGTTCATGTGTTTAAGAAACTTTCCAACAATTCACATTTTAAAAGAATTTTTTGGTCAATTTTCACATGCCATGTAGAACAGATATAGTGATTTTTCATTACTTTTAGCATAAAACTTTTAGGAAATTAAGAGGAACTTGTAGATATTTGGACAGGAAAAGCTAATTAACAACAGTTTCTCAGAGCTAATATTCAGTTATATTCCTAATTTTTACTGGATATAAGCTCAGCCTTTAGTGTTATTTTAAGAGGGTTTCTATGGTTTAATGTATGCACAAATAAATGAAAAACTACTTTTGGTCTACAAGGTTATTTTGCTTGGCATTCAACATTTAATACTAATTGATCATTTTTACAGTGTTTGTTTCTCACAGACCTTCTTCCTGAGCTTGATTTCTGCAAGTGTATCAACCAGTGTCATTCCTTGATTTCAAAAGGATATGGCAGAAGTGATCATTCAAACTAGTATTTGCAAATGCTTTTTTTTAAATGGAAATATAAACATATAAATAATTAAAAAGGTTTTTCATTTGGCATGCCAGTGAATATGTTGTATTAACAGCTTTATTTCTTTAGCTAGTCAGATTATAGTCATAATTTGCTGTCTGGTAGCCACAAACTTTATTTCTTTTATAGTGTTTCATTTAATGGTCTCCCTTGCACTCTACAGGGTTTAGTTTGATGGAGGAAATAATTATGATTTTAACTAGTCTGTTCCATTGAGATTTAAGTGGGGTGTATTGTGCAGCTCTCTTTGTGTGTTACAGTGCAATTTATGGCGATACCAAGTACAGTAAAACGCTTTACGGAGTTGAGGACAGCTACTGTCCTCCCACAGAAAGTGGAAGAAAAGTTCTGTGGAGGTGGAGCAGAGGAAAAAGGAAACAGAGCTGACATTTTAAAGGCCACAGAGGGGGAGGCCAGGGTCCTTGCAGGCTGGTTGTTGTAAGGGAATGGCTGGAAGGTGCAGAAATATGATCCAGCTGTGCCCAGGTGGGCAAGAGGCCAACGGCCCCTGGGCTGTGCTCGGCCCAGTGCTGGCACTGCTGGGGCAGCTCTGGGCCACTCATGGCAGCAGTGACACTGAGGGGCTGGAGTGTGTCCAGGGAAGGAGTGGGGCTGGGGAAGGGGCTGGAGCAGCTGAAGGAGCTGGGAAAGGGGCTCAGCCTGGAGAAAAGGAGGCTCAGGGGGGCCCTTTTGGCTCTGCACAACTCCCTGACAGGAGGGGACGGCCAGGGGGGTCGGGCTCTGCTGCCAGGGACAGGACAAGGGGAAACAACCTCAGGCTGGGCCAGGGGAGGCTCATATTGGATATTAGGAAACTTCCCCAAAAGCAGAGGTGAAGCCCCTATCCTTGGAGGGACTTCAGAGCCATGTGGATGTGGCACTTGGGGACACGGATTAGTGGTGGCCTTGGCAGCGCTGTTAATGGTAGGACTCGATGACCTCAGAGGGCTTTTCCAATCTAAACTGCTCTACAAATCCATGAAATAGAGCAAAGACAGGTAGGGCTTGTGCCAGTACATGCGGTGGTGTGTTATTTTAATTGCTACACTCAGGAAAATTGCAAATAATATTGGTTGTAGAGCAAGAGATTTACAGGCCTCTTCCTCTTGTTGCCTTAAGCTTTAAGTTGCAATGAAAACGATGGTGACCACCTGGACAGAGACCAGCAATACCCCAGCAATCAAAAAACAAAGCGCATGAGGACGTCCTTCAAGCACCACCAGCTGCGGACAATGAAGTCATACTTTGCTATTAACCACAATCCTGATGCCAAGGACTTGAAACAGCTAGCTCAGAAAACCGGCCTCACCAAAAGAGTTCTTCAGGTAAGAGCCGATTTTGCCTTGAAAAGTAATCAAAATACCAATTTTATATTTAAAAAGCCATGGATTTGCTGTTTTTCAAGATATTCTTAACTATTTATACCTTCTCTGAGACTAATTTAATTCCCAAAAAGTATGAGAAGAGCTATTTCTTTTCAGTTTCTCTAAAGCAGACTGCTTGGGTTCTAAATTTTATGAGAGTTGTGAAGGTTTGGGGCCCTGCTTGTTTTCCTGGAGTTCTTTAATTCTGATGCATGTTTTAGCTTCCAGGCTGCTGTAAAAAAAAAGTGACTTATTTTAGTTAGTGTGCTCACTGTAAATAGAGAGCTTTTAGTTTAGAAATTCAGAAAACATGTCAATGTTTACCTTTGTAAGAAATTAATCAACAGTTTGAACTCATTTTATCAGGACAAGGAGGAGGGCTTTTTGTTCATAACTGAAGTGGATGTAAATGAAATTTTTCAAAAACTTTCACTCATAGTTTAGTAACTTAGAATGAAATGAAATTGCATTTTAAAAGTATTTTTTTCTTGCTCATGGGAACACACTCCATTTGAGCTATTATGTGAAGAAAAGGGAACAGTATTCATTGGTTCAGCTGCATTTTAATTTATAGTTCTGACTCAAGAATTCAATTTTAATGAGCACTTACCCAAATGCCTATACCTAGAGATAAACTTGGGATAGACTTGATAGAAGATAAACTTGCATATAGGAGCCATGGCATTCCAGGATTTATTGCTGAAAGTTTTAAATGGGTCTTAATTGTAGAAAAAGGATTAGTGACCTTCCTAGAGACAGGTAAGGCTGTGAGCTCCATCCTGGGAAGCATCGTGGACAGCTCACAAGTCACAGGCAAGTGGAGGGCAGGAAACAGCTACTGAGGAAAACTGAACTCACTGGAGGGATCCTGGATCTTACAGAGCTAACACCTACCAGAAGAAGGAAAAAAAAGTTTTGTAGGCTTCCCAGTAAAATGACAAACAGTATGTAATGATTTCTTGGCTATGTTCTCATAGCTGGTTTGTTTTTCTGAGGCTGATTTGCTGTAGAGGAACAGATTCCTCTGACAGAGAGTGAACATCCCAGCACCTGATGTGGTGTCTCACAGCAACTGGCCTTAAACCACACACATGGCTGAAATAATCTACTGCATTGGTCTATCCTTAGATTGACCCTTCTCCTCTATTTTACCCTCAGAATTTAGACACTTTGGTAATACCAGGTCTGCCATTTACACCTGAATTACCTGAGAAACTGCACACCAGTGTCTAGGAAGTGCCTGTCTCTCAGTCATCTTTCTGTTCTCTCTTGTCACTCCACACCAACTTTGACTTCCATCTCTCTTTTCACTGAATGGGTCTTCCCTTGCATCTTTTTCCAAGTTCCGTTGTCTCTGTTTCTTCCTATTCAGAACATATTCCAGATTGGACTTCACCCCATTACTCATCTGTTCCTCTTTCAGTTTCTTCATTGCTTCTTCATTTTGTCTTAAACATGTCACAGTTTGCAGTTTTAATATGCTTTCTGGTTCTTCTTTTGTTTGTTGCAGAACTTTACAATTCCACCAGAGTTTTGTTATCATTTTGGTATTTGGTGTTTCACTTCTTTTAATTTCAGAGTTAAAAGCTCTTTTATGTCCACGCTCCTTTAGCTGCAGTGGTGGAAGACAGTAGTTGGTGATGAGGATGTTCCCTGAGGAGGCAATTCCAGATGCTTTGTCTAGTATCACTTGAGTTTTCCCGCCTCTTATGAGCACTCTCTAGTCATGGATGTTTTGTTTGAAAATTAATTTGGGCCTTGAAACACAAACTTGTATTTCGTATATTTTAGAACCTTTCTGCCCGGTTGGTTTATCTCTACCTGTGAGTGACAATTAAGTTCACATATAAGAGTTTTAGGATTACTCTTTGCTGGGAGAACTCGTCACGATGTTGGTTACTGGGACAGTATCATTTTTTAATTCCTTGGAGCCAGAAAGACTGGCATTCCATGTGTGTCACTTACTGAGCACAAAGTGATTCACTGACGCTGTGGGTGGAAACAGGCATCACCAGCAGCAGCCTGTCCCACGCTGCAGAGGTGTTTGCACTCGCAGGTGTATGTGCACACTTGCCAGGAGCCAGAACTCTGCCACGCTCCCTAAGAGGTGTTTGTGAGCTCTGGGGTTTTCTGTGTGTTCACATCTCCATTCAGCTGGTGAAGGATCCAGGCTCTCTGGGCACATTTCATAGAATTTATTTTAAGGGGAAATGCAGGGCAGCAGATCAGGGATCAGGAGAAAGGTGTACTTCCTAAACACACAGAGCAGAGCTCCTGGTGATCTAGGGAACAGCTGTAGTGCCTTTGCTGTAAAGACAGCCCTACATGACATGTAATGAGGGGACTTGGTAGAGGAGCAGAGGATTTGAGGATTTTCTAAATGCTTTATGATACTGGAGTTGGAAGCCCTGACTGATGTCTTTGCTTTATATATAATTTGTCAGCAGCTGCATGTGTGCAGTGGTGGGATGGCCTGGAAATGTAACACTCTGCTTCTCAGAATGCATTTCCTTCAACACCTTTGTAATGCACACTGTTCTCCCGAGGCAGCCACATTAGAACTTATACACATAGCAAACTTATTTATATTTTATATATTTAACACCTATTTTTATTTTGTTTCCTTCAAATTTAACTTTACATTTGCAATTTAATTCATATATCTCTTGTACTACAGCTGGGGAACACAAACCCTTTATTGTAAGCTATCATTTGTTATTAATGGCCCCAGCTAATTGTGGGCTAACTAACCTAACGGGCATAAATGCTGCTCTTTGGGGAACTGATCTTTCTTTCTGTGAGTTTAGAAAAGGAAGGTGAAAGTAGATACCCCTGAGGAGGTGTAGTGTGTTAGCTATAGGGTATGTACCTCTTCTCTCTCCAGGGGTCTAGAATAAGATTATCCACAGCTTAAACATTTTAGGAACATAAAGCATCATTTTTCAGTGTGTGTCTTGGACATCACTTATTTTTTCTTGAATCAGGCCCCAGTAAAGTTGCTACCGAAACCCTACAGGGATCACTGTATGCATTTGGACTTTCCTGATCCAGTTTCCAGTAGTCAACAAGCCTACAATATTTCCATCCCACGGGGGGACCTGTGCTGCCCTTTGGTGAAGGTTTGCTTTAGGCTGCAGGCTCTTCCTGAACCCCCATTCATTAAACATCTCTTTGACTGTACAGTTACTAATTACAGCAGAGTCATCACAATGTGTGTGCAATGAGTGAACACAGTCTGCTTTGTGGTATTACATTGCCTATATTTTGTTTCTCCACTTACTGGTTAGTGAAATTCAGAGAACCTAAATGTCTCCAGGTAGCTGTGTGAATCAGCAAAATTTGGTTTAAATTTTTGTTTTTAGAAGAAGCTGTTCACACAGCTAATATGTAACAGATGCAGCAATGGAGGTGTTACAAACCAGGAAATAAAGTTATCTAAGGTGACGATCCCATTAACTTCAGTATCCACATCCCTCACAACTCTTAATGTGTTTATTTTCAATACCCCCCTATCATATGGAGATGTTCTTTTATTCCTATTTGACTTGGTGGAGACAAAGAATTTGCTCCACAGATCACTGAAGAGAGAGTGCAATATTTTCACCTCAGTAAATATTATTCTGCCTAACTGCTGAGTGCCCAGCTCCACGCATGCAGCCCCGCTCACCGGAGTGTGGGAGCAGCAGTGCTGGGTCTCGCAGCTGCTTCTTATTTTTCACTGGGAGTTTTGGTCTGCATTTTCCCCTTTGATTTGAAATAGCTCAGCCTTGTACTGATACAGTTGGACAGAAACCCACTAAATACTTCCCAGTGATTTTGTTTATTGCTCAGTCCTGAAGGAATTGTGTAATTGATGTGAGCAAAGTCCTTCTGGAAGGATTCTTTCAGTTCCGTGTGTCTGGGTGGTTATTTCTGCCATGCCCTTCCAGGTGCACGGCCTGAGCTGCCCATGGGAGCGGCAGGGCAGCCCCAGCTCCAGCCCTGCAAGCCACTGTCCCTTCTGGGATAATGGGAACAGCCCCCAGGGACAGGGAACAGCCCCCAGGGACAGGGAACAGCCCCCAGGGGGACAGGGAACAGCCCCAGAGAACAGCACTACTCCTCTCTCACCACTTTCTAACACAAACACCTTGCTGAGGATGTCAGATCTAAAGTACATGCCAGAATGTCACTATGGTGGAAAGAATGTCATCCCTTCTATCATAAGACAAGCTGTTTTCAGAAGGCAAATAATTAGATGTATTTTCAGTAATAATATGAATATTTATTATTACACAATTTTAAAGGGCCTTGTAACCATTAACTGATTAACCTTGACAATATTCCAATAAGGAAGGAAGGAAAGCAGTCATATAATCTCTATTTTCAGATAATACTTGCAGGATTATATGATATTTTCAATGTCTAACATGAATTACCACTAATAAAGAGACGATGAACCATGTTACATGTGCAGCTCCTGAAAGCAGTGTGGGTAGTCATTGGTAAGGGCAGCTGTGCTCAGGTTTTTGTATTAGTGGAAGATGAAGGGAAATCCATAAACACCAGGAATCTTGCTCACTTTACATATTACATGTTTCAAAAAAAATACCATGGAGCCTCTTGCCCTGGTAAGGTTAGGAGCAGCTGGACATTTAGGAACAGTGTCGTGTTTCTCATATTTGGGACTACTGAATATAAAAATATAGATATTTTAATGAACATAAATGTGAAATTGTGCAGAAGTAGGTGTATCTACAGCTGGCCAACTGGTTTGTCTGTTCTGTTTTAATTATGCCATGGCTACATGAACACACATAGTGACAGCGGCCAGCTCCAAAGTCCATTTCATGGCTGTTATCCTTCATACATTATTTTATTTTATTAAATTATTAAATTATTTTATGGAACAAATAGAAATGATCTCTACCTGAAAGATAAAAAAATCCTATAAAAGTTCCAATTGCTGTTTTTGCTGTTCCTGAGCAGTTGGCGCTTGAGCCTTTGTGGTTTAAATGAGCAGAACAAAGTGATTGGCTTCACTCCCAGCCCCTGCAAACAAGGGGCTCTGAGCAGTCCCACCAGAGGACACCGCTTGGGAACATGTCAGCAAAAACATCACTTTGGGGTTTGCACCTTTTTGACCACATTGCTGGTCTGTAGCAGGGTCACTGACATACTGGGCTCTTATAAAGTCATGGGAATATTTTTACCTGTGCTGGTTTAAGAGAACTTTTGTATATGAAACCGATAAATAGCCTTTAAATGAAGTATTTTAATGAAATGAATGCCAGTATAAACTGGTTTAAAATTCGGAGCTTTCAGAAGGAAGGACCTGTAGGGATGTGATTTATGCATGGCCCTGGAATTTGTGCTTGAGGATTATTTCCTTGTGGCATTCCCTGGAGAGTGTGTGAGAGACAGGGTGTGCACATTAAAGACCTTTGGCTGGGGCAGAAAGCTTTCCAGGGAAGGAAGAGTGTTCAACAGGGGGAATATGCAGCTGGAGCATCCCTAGATGTGAAGGAGGGTGGAGAAGGGTGAAGCAGCCAAGGCAGGTCCATCAGCGGGGACTGCAGTGGGAGAACCCCCAGCTCTGCCCGCCTCCCCTCCCTCCCCTCCCTCCTCTCCCTCCTCCCCTTAGAGCCCATCCCGCACAGGTCCAGGCAGCTCCAGAGCCAAGAGCAGAACTTCTACATGGGCTGCTGTGTCCTCAGGAGTCCCACACACTCACCTTCCCTGTCCCTCACTCGGAGAAGCAAAGAACGCAAGAAGTAGAAACCCTGGGAAAAAAATCTGTGTGGATGCTATTCCTACTGAAATCACAGTTTCTGATGTAAAGTAGGTCTTTAATACCTTTCCAAACCCTTTTCCCAGTGTTATTCCAGTACTGAAAACATTTGATAAAGAAAATCAGGAATAGATGAAGCAAGCTGAAGCATTTGAGAAAGAATAAAAGAAGAGCAAGAAAGATGAGCAGTCCCTTCCAAAGAGGGGAGCGCTGCAGGCACTGGCATGTGAGGGAGCTCCAGGGGGAGCAGGAGCCCGTGGGAGGGCAGGGTGCCCTGGGCTGTGCCAGGAGAGCTTTGGTGGGAGAGGGACATGAGGTCCATGGGGGGAAGCTCCTGATTTTGTGCTCATCAGGTGCATGGTGTTTGCCACACTCAGACCAATGCTGCTGGGATCGAGGGCTGTTGAGGATTCTGCACGCTGCCAAATTTCCAAGCATCATTTCACATTCCCTGTGCAGCCAGACTGCCAGCCTCCATCCCTAGTCCGCTCCTGGCCCGGGCAGGCTGTTTGCAGGGATCGAAGGAGAGGGAAGAAGGAATATTTTGCAGGCAGAGTCTGCTTCTTATGGCTAGGACTATTTTCTAATGTTACCAGTAAAAACATCTTTCCCAATTCCAGCATTGATGAATTTGTGAATATGCTTTTGCATTTTTAAACACTGCAGGTCTTTAAATGCTACCCTGTTATATTAAACTATTTCAGGTTTGGTTTCAAAATGCTCGAGCCAAATTCAGACGGAACCTCTTACGTCAAGAAAACACAGGGGTGGATAAGACTTCAGACTCAACACTCCAAGCAGGGACCCCTTCAGGTCCTGCCTCAGAAATATCCAATGCCTCCATGAGTCCATCCAGCACTCCCACTACTTTAACAGACTTGACTAATCCCACTATGCCAACTGTGACGTCGGTCTTGACATCAGTGCCCGGAAGTCTTGAGGTTCATGAATCTCGAAGTCCTTCACAGACAACTCTTACAAATCTTTTCTGATGACTCTTTCTTAATAATTTCTTTAAAAAAGAAATTATTCTTAGCTGAAATTCCAAGTGTATTTTAATAGAGGCTTTGAGCAACTGACTAACCACAATTAGGATCTCTCCTAAAAAACAGAAGGAAATGTAGTGTTCTGGTATTACGGAGTATGGACTGAAGAATAACTTGGAAGATCTATTGCAACACAACATTTGTGTAACTGTACAGTTTTGTGGACTGAGCAAGGGAAACAGCAATTAATTTAAGTTGGCTAAAGCTTCTGTATTTTCAAAGACTGCCATGTGCCTTATATACTGTTTTATCTACATTCTTTGGATTCCATGTCCACTTCTCTCTTTTTCTCTCTGTATATTTATGACCAGGGCAAAAATGTTAAAGAGTTTGTTACTTTGAATAGTCCTAAGCCTTTCATTGGTTGCTTTGTTGTTTTAGAATTTTAAGGTCGAAGTCTGTTCGAATACCAGAATTTGTAAAATCTAACCAGTAATAAAACCACTTATGGAAACTACTTGGTAATGGCTGCAGTTACATTTAACATTAGTGTCACAATCGAGGTAGGCTGACTGGATCTAAAAGGGTTAGAAAAATGCACTTCCAACACAGTGTCTGCCTAGGAAAAACCCTAAATATGATGTACACATTCCTCTGGTTCCCAAAGCATATATGGGTGAGAAATCCAGCTTGTACAACAGTCTAGGTATCTTCATTGTAGAGAAATAATGTTAGTTGCAGGTAGAAGTTATCAGATAATGTTAAAACTCAAATAGAAGAACTACATTTCATTTTGCTGCATGAAGGAAACCTGACTTTGGTCAGAATCTTGCTTTTGTGCAAGGTGTGGCTTGTCCCATGTCCTGGAGGAGGCCAGTGGGGCTCCCACAGTTGGGTGGCCACAGCTGGTCCATCACAGAGGTGGACACTGCAAAAGGCTTGCCCTAGAAAAAAGGCAGAAGTATTTCAGGCTATTTTAGAACACTGGTGGGCAAAGTTAAGGCAAAATTATGTTTTATAAACTTAAAGTCTTAAATTTTTTGTAATGCTTTGAAGGAATAAAAAGCCAAGGAAGAATATATTATTGACACTGAAAGTGGTTATTCCTTTAATGATTATGGACCTTTCAATACAATGGAATTCCTTCTCCCCAAAAATCTCTGCAGAATATAACTCATATTTTGAGGTCTTTTCCTATTGTTTTTAAAGTTGCTTTTCTGTAATAAAAGAAATACCTCAGCAAAGTTTAAATATGTATAAGAACGAGTCTACACTATGCTGTTTGCCCAGTAGGTTTAGAGTTTGGAGTGCTACATAAGATGCAGATGGTTGCTCCTTTTCAAACCTGTTCCAATCAGTTCTTTCAGTCAGATGTTAGGTTGTACTGGCCAGCTCTATAAAATTAATCCCTCATTCCCATTTGATCAGAATTACTAAAAGATTATTCCAAATAAACAGCAAGATAGATGCCAAGATTTGTGTTCTCTGCCCTTCTCAGGGCATTGAAGATGATTCTGTAGGTTGGACTCTTTCCTAACAGTGTTTTGGTTTTACAAGTGCTGCATTTATTCAGCTTTCTGAGCTGCAAATTCACTATTCTTGTGCAAGCCAAATTCCTATCGAGATCAGGGAGAGATTTCAGAGCATGAGGACTATGGGATAGAAAGGCTGACATAATTAGGTCATTTATTAACCATTTTTACACTTCAGCTTAAAAAAACCCACAGGTGAGCTATGAGTAAAGCAAGACAGTCGTCCAAGATGGGAACTAGGTGAGATCTGTGAGAGGGATTGGGGTCTGGTCACCGAACCCAGGGGTGGCAGGGTCCATTGAGTGATGAGACATTAAAAAAGATAATTTGTGTTGAAATTATAAACGTTACAGGTTTATCCAGGACATTTTTCCTCGTAATCCAAATGTCTGATAAGGATGTTGTGCTGGTTGGTGGACTGTAACAGATACATATCTGCCTTTCAAAGCTGTTTTGACACTGAGATTCTGCTGTTTGTAACATTTTGTTCATTGTCAATCACTTTGGAGATTTTATTTTTTTTTTACATGCTAAGCTGGATCTTTTCTTGACTTAAAAGGCAATTCTGGTCCACTGTTAAATGGTTACAGCCCATAATTAAAACTCTGTGTATTAACCTGTGAACAGTTTAAAGATTCTGAATCCTGAAATCTGAAGTGTTACGGCAAATGTAGCGGAGAACAATTCCAACGGTTCTTTAAAATTGTACTGCTATTATTTGTGATCTTGTATCTTAACTACCTGAATCCATGTGGATGGAAATACCTTTCAAATCAATTCTCAATATTGCCTTTTCAAACACCTGACCTTCATGGAGGGGAATACTCTCATGTTAAACTTATCTGAAACTTATACGAGACAATTAGAGAAATTGTCTGGTTTAATCAAATCAGGGATTTTGCATATAAATAAGAGACAATATTCTATGTAGGGTCTTTATGTAGGTGCATTAGGATTCACTCTGGCTCCAATGACCTATGTTGTCCCCATGACTGTTTCAATCCTGTGGTATTGTTTGGTTGTTTAGAGCTTGTTGGTTTTGAATGCTGTACATTTTTTTACTACTGCAATCCTGATGTTTCTTCACATTCTTGTACAGTTCCACATTTGATGTATTAGTCTGAAATTCTGTTAAAAACATGAACAAAAATGGAAATGATATTTCTTTGGAAGTGTATTTTTACTGTATATCTAAGTTGAACTAGTTGAACATACTTCTTTACATTTTGCATGATAGGTGTGTAGTTCATTTTTTAAATATGAAAGAGACTTAATAGTAACTTAGAACAAGAATATAATGAAACTATACAAATATGGAAATACATACAATGATTTGCTACTTTTTGACTCAAGAAGCTTTTTGAAATACATTTTACCTAGTTTATTTAAGATAATGCAGATATTCTGACTCTGAGTTCATACATAATACAGAATGTAAGAGGGGATTATGTACTAGAAAAACTTTCAGGTCACCTTGGTACTCACCAGCACACTGGATTATTCTTGTCAGACAGAGAAAGGACAATGAATTTTAAGAATGCTGAATATATTTTGATCTACAGCAGAGAGGGGTGAGATTGCTGCAAGTGATATGTAATCACAGCTTAAAATGTATTGACTCTATTAATGACTACATTTCATAAAACTTATTTTTTATTCAAATTACCTAAATTTGGGAAGACTGGGGATCATTATACTAATGAAGAAGCTGAATGTGTGCCCTGGAAGCTAAAGTCAATTTATCAAATATACTGTGGATGCAGAAGGGGCCTCCAAGATATTTTGGTTTTCAGACTATCTTTTCCTCCTGGCTGTTTAAAAACCCCACGTAATTAGGCTGCTTTACTATAAGTGTTTGCTATTTTTTGTCCGTTGGAAGGAAGCTTAGGCACCTGTAAGAACAATCTTCATCTAAAGGAAAAGGAGAAAAAGACACAAAACAAGAATCAGGTTTTGTACTTGGGTGTGATGATGGCAACAACGCCCAGGTGACGGAAAAGTTGTGTGTGTACATGCTTGTGGTCTTCAGGGACTCAATGATACTTGGAAAGAGGGCTTTTAATTGAAAGTAGGTGATTCATGGTTTCTTTTGTTTCTAAACTCAGCAAGCCAGAGCTAATTACATCACTCTGTCACTGCTTTTTGAAACCAAGCAATTCGACGTAAATTACGATTAGGAAGGGCCATAACATCAGTGTGAAGAGGTAAGCCCAGAGTTTGGGAGGACTTTTTTCTGCTTTTCTCTGCTTCCCATGTCTTTAACCCTGGTTCTTCTCAGGCTGTGCCAAGGGCTGCAGGCAGCAGCTGAGCTGGTGTCCCCTGCTCCCTCCACACTGCCACGGGCCAGCCCTTCGTGCCTCCCACGGCAGCACCATCACCCTCCTCACCCCAACACTCGGGTGCAGCTTCTCCTGCTCCCACAGGGACTCACCCTTCTGAGCAAGGAGGATTTGTACCGTCCCTGCTAGCAACTGATCTGTGCTCAGCTGAGAGCAGTCTGTAGATGGAGTGGTCTGTGCCTTTCTGAGGTCCCTCTCACCTGCTTTTGCACGGGCTGCAGGTGAAACAGCGGGGGAGCACACGCTGAACAAATCCCTGCCAGCAGCAGAGCTGCCCAGAGACAGAGCCCAGCCCCAAAATTATTTCCACTGAAGCAGCAAATACTGACAGACCTAATAGATAGAAATTTATATTACTGCCATTTTTGCTGCAATTGTGCTCTCCCCACAACCTTTCAGACTCATTAAAGAAGTGCTCCATACCACCATTCCACCCAGGAAAATCAGAGCTGAGCTGGACCAGGGCCATGAGTGGCATTCATCAATTTGACAATTCCTTTTCTCAAGGACTGGATGAAAAGATTCACTGGGCATTTAATGGATTTCTGCTCAGATTAGTATGATGTTAGCGGCTCTTTCTGGCCTAATAACTGGATTTTTGTAGCAACTAAAGCCAGTAAATATTTTTGGTGTTTTAATTTGAGCAAAACATAGTACTTAAAACACACAACCTGCTGTCAGTAAATTCAGACCTTGCAATATCATTTATTGTACTAATGCATAACACTGTGCAAATTATTATTTCTGGAGAAAACCACTCCTGTGCAAGTTCTTCTTTGCCCTGTACAAGGCATGGCTCTGCACATATATTTACACAGCTTGTTTACATACCGCTATATCAATTTATTACATTGTAAAATTCAGCACTTAACAGGAAGTTACACTTTTGCAACAACATCTAGAAAAAAAGGAAATAATTAAGCTTTTAGTTAAAGAAAGAAATCTGTTTTTTCTCCTGCATATTTTAGCCCGGTAGCCGTGGGGGTGAAAAAAGGCAACCAAAACAAGAGGGATTTCCAAATATTTGGAAAGCCTTACTTCCCTCTGTGACCTGTTTTAATTGATAAATCCCAGCAATGCCTCTCTCCAATGCATCCACATCCCAGGGTGATTAGTGCTGGAGAGCCACAATGGACCTGCAGTGCTGCAAACACTGAAGCAACCACGTATTTTTCTTGCAGTGACACAAAACTA